AGATCTGTTGGCTGTGTTATCAGGGACGGGGACTGAATGCGGATGTCTGGATTTCCTTCAAAGAACTGCTTCTCAGAAGTGGTTCAGACGCAGCCCAGACCAGAGGAAATTAGCTTCTATTTCTAGTACCAAAATTAATGCTCCCAAAAGATCAACTTCTTCTTTTCATAAATGCTTATCAGTAATGCTTCCACCATTTGAGGTTGCACAAAGGTAGGGACTACCAGCAAGAAAATGCTGAAAATTAGTCCAGTGTGACCATGAGCAAACTCAAGTACTAATCTCCTCCTAAGCCTGTGCTAACAACTGCAAGAAACCCACACTGTATTCCCTCTCTTCTTCCAGGGCCTAGGATATGGCAAGTAATAAGGTCACATGGCAAGCTGCAGTGGTTCAGGTCTAGGAAGGGCTAGGAGACACTGGCTTGTCAATTAACCAGGGACTCCATTACAATATATACAACAAATGCTGTAATTAAGGATAGGTAAGGTTTACTCACCTCTTATTGCTCAACCAGGAACACCAAATAGGTGACTTTGTCCTTAGATGACTGAAACAAGACATTTTTGCCTGTGAACATAGTTGCTATGCCTCCATGGCAAAAATAAAACAATCACGGAGTGTCACATTAGTTTAAAAATTTTATGACACAGTAATGTTTCTCTGAACTTGAAATCCTTTTAGAAGTGGTTTGGAGATAAAATAAAAGCAGCTTCCAGAGTGCTTCACTGGCACATTAAGTTATGCATTCTAAGTCCTGGAGGTGAAACGTTTTTAGCATTTATGGGAGCTCTGGGCTTCCAGTCCTCATGCTGAGACAGTTACTAATACATGACAGAAAGCATCTGTGATCTACTGCTTGCAGGGTTCAAGCCCCAAAGCATCCAGAAAGCCTGTGCATAATCCTTCACTCACATGGCAGATTGACTGCACCACGCATAAGTCAATGTGATGTATACACTCTGATATGACAGGTCCAAAATATAATGTACTCTATAAATGATTTGATCTTAATTAGAAGAACAAGGGTCTTTTACATGACAATTTTCTTTTAGAAAAAGGTAAAGGGCATTAAGAGATATTAATGTCAGCATCAGTCCTCATAAACAGGGACAATATCTATTCTAAGGCTTTAGGGTATAAAGTACACATTAAAAATGGGATTATGTTACTCTGAAAGGGAAAATGATTGCTACTCTAATTTCCGACTAAACCAGACTGGGGCATCACTATGAACACAGCAGTTCTTTACAGAAAGAGTAACAGCCCAGTATTCTGTTGGAAAATATCTGGTCCATTTCTTTGATGTCCAGGGTACTGCTAGTCTCTCCATGAGTGCACAGGTAAGTACATCCATGCAGGACCAGGGCCAAGCAGCTGACCTGAAGACAGGCTGTAACAGACCTTTCTGAATCACAGCCTTCGTCACATGAATGTTTCTACCCTGCACTGTTTTTTTTTTCCTGGTGGACTGGATCAAAGCTGTCTAGCTGGCAAGAGATTTCATTCACTTCAGTCAGCAGGGAAGTATGTCTGGTTTAAACCTGAATTTCAAGGAGGGCATATTTTCACAACCTTGGTTTTCCTGAGTAATATGATTACTTGTTTTCACCTGATGTGGCATTGGTGCCTGCTATCTAGCAGCTTCTCCCTGTTTGTGCAGTTTCTGCAATCAAGATGTCAGGCTGATAAGCAGGGATATTATGTAAGTGGTGTCTATGGGAATTCTGAGTGGACGAAAATAAAGGGAAAGAAAAAAGGTGTTATGATAGTACCTGGCAAAACTATGCATCTTACAAGCAGAAAAGCACATCTCTCTTTGCCAGCTTGTCTCAGAGTACTGCATGGGAGAACAGGCTGTGCTCTCCAATGTTTTGCCTAAGGAAAGCTTCAGGAAGCTCTGCAGCACAGCTTGTGAAGTGGCTTGTCACACTCCTGCAACAGAATGCATCCCTGTGGTGCCTCTTGCCTTTCTCAGTCAGCTGCTTGCTTTGCGTGGAGGTGGGGGGGGCTTTCTTCTGGAGGAGCTCTGTGTTAGGGAGCTGTGACTGCAAGTCTGAACCACTGAAAGAGTTGTCTTGCTTGTCTCCCTGAAATCACAGTATGGAAACATGTATGTGAGACCCCATGATCTGGAGAATGGCCTTCCCAGGGACCGTCTTTCCTTGCATTTCAGGAGTGCTGACTGATTTTCCCAAATGTAGGTAACTTGGCTGGCATGAAATGGAAGTGGAGGGTGTGGAAACTCATACACAGTCTTCCTTGAAAAGAAACAGCTAATGCGCACAGCCATCACATGCACAGTTAAGTACATTTCACACACTGCAACACAAGTGCAGGGGGATGGGGTTGCAATCCCCTTAGCTCACCTAGAAAATCTGTGCCTGTTCTCACATGCTGGAAACACACGACCTGAAACACAAGACAGTACATCTGGGAACAGATCAGAATAGCAATTTCCTTTACTGGCTAGATTAAAAATTGTGGAGAACAGACATCATATCCCAGTATCTGTTGAGGATTCATGAGAGAATTGTGGTCAATTTTATCATGTTTGCGTTTAAATTCTCTAATGTGTAGTCTTTTAAACTCAGTTGATATGGAAGAAGCCCTTGATTAGACACTATGTCTCCACAAAAACACATTACATTTTTTTATTTTCATCAATGCCAATTCACCTCAATGCACAAGCAGAGCTTTTGGGTTGGGGATTGATAGCAACTGCATTAAAAACATTTTAAAAATAACTGATACAATTAAAAAACCTACTGCAATTAAAATAGGAAAAACTTATAACTTGGGCTTGGAGTGCTCAGACTGGAAACTGGGGTGCTGCTACCCATGTGTTCAGTATGGCCCCTGTGTGAGGCAGAGGCCATGACATTTCCTGAGAGAAACGCACATCAATTCCAAACAGCACATTAGATCATTTTAATGCCCACAGTTATAAATTGCAATGGGCTGCAACTTGTCCTAGTGACAATCCACACATCCAGTGCTGTTTGGGTATTTTAGTCTTGCAACTGCCTTTTTTTCTCCAAATGGGTTGCTCAGCAGTAATGATAATTCAGAGAAAAGTGGCAGACAAGGTCAGGTAGCAGCAGAATGAAAAGTGAAAACTTGAAAGATACTAGATGAATATTTATGCAGAGCAATCTTCACTCTCAAATTACGGAGCATAATGGGATCAGCAAAGCTAACGAAATTCACGCTGCGTGAACTTCCTCTGTGAGAACTTAAGTTTAATCTGCACGTAAGACTGACAACCCGTGAACACAGAGAAAACATTCAATGGCATGTAAAAACGTCATTGAAATAATGTTTCTGACTATATCAGTGTTCTGGCAATGACAGAATAAACAACAATTTTTTTCGGACAGATTTTAAATCCACAGGCCACTTTTTTGAAATGGCATCCAAACATTGTCACAGCAGACTTTGTTCTTTTGTTTTGCTGCCGATTTGTATGGCAACTGAAAAGCATCCATGAGGATCCAGTAATGAGTACAAGAATTTCAGAACAGCCTGGCACTGAACTGATGACGACAAGAAGCAGCCAGGCACTGCTTCGCTCTCATATTGAAAGATTTGTCAGGGAATACTTTTCATTGCAAAAACAAATGGCAGTTAGCTGAATTTGGAGAATCCGTCTTATTTCAAAAGATTTTTTTCTCAAGTATCTTGGTGCACATGGGCAGTGAAATCCATTCCTGTACTGTAAGGTCAGCACAAGAGCTGCAGATCAGTTTACTCCTTTGGGGGACTGCAGATTTAGTGCACAGAGAAGTCTGCATTTCATCCACTCTGTATTTTTTGTGAGCAGGTCACAACAAAGACCCGAGAGCTATTACAATCCATCACTATGCACAAACCCCAAAACAGTTGATTACTTGGGGCTAAATACTCATATATTTAGAGAGATAGATAAACCTTTTTTGTTTATACAAGGATCTTTAAAAACTTTATTAGTAAGACCAGTTTTTTCCTTGACATTTCTAGAGTATACTATTATTACTGTGTTGTCTTGATTTAAAAATTAAATGAACAGTTTTCCTTACTGTCCTTTAATATTTTCTTTTTTGAACTAGAGGCCCTGCTTTGTCCCTCTCCTGAATGCTTCAGCACATGTCTAATGTTTCTGAATTCAGGGATATATAAAAAAGCTCTACTGAATCCAGAGCTCTCTGAGAAACTGCAAAAAAATGCAGCTCCTGCTACCTGAAATATCTGAACCCTTCAAAATATTCAATGTATTACCTGTTTATGTCTGATCTTTTTGCTCCTGAACTTACACATCTGTCATTATCCAAATGTCTCAGAAGCACATCAGTTACAGACACAGCCAGCTGCCTTATGTGTGAATTTAATTAAATGAGAATATGCAAAATAATATTTTAAAGATGCACAATTTAGCCCATGCTGGCAATCCGACCTTTCCCTTCCGATGCCAATTCGTTCAAGAGGCCAAGCAGTGCCTGCAGGTCGGGGGCAGCGATCCTCACCGGGCACACCGGGCGCTGTGCACGGGGGCCGTCCTCGTCCACACTTCAAGGCCGGGGAAAGCAAAGCTGGGAGGACAAGGGATGGAGTGCTCTGCAGAGCCATTCTCGGTTGCAACAGTCATCGCAATTAATTAATTTACATATTTATTAACATAATACTTTTCATTCGACAATTTCTTTAGTAGAAGGCACTGCCTGAGGCTGTGGGCTCTGGATCTGGTTTCCATCTGTCCTCCAGCGGGAAGGCGCCCGGGTGTGACGCTGCCCTCCTGCTCCCTTCTCACTCGGGCTCCCGGTGCCGCCGCGGCCCATCCAGGCCGCCGGCCCTGAGCCCCGGGCGCGCCCCCGAGCGCGCGTGCCCGCGAGCGCGCGTCTCCGCGCGCGCAGCTGCCACCGAGCGCGTCTGTTCGTGCGTGCTAAAAATAGACGGGAGAGCCTGACAACTGCGTTCTGATTGGCTGCCGCTGAGGAGCCGGCAGCCAATGGGGGCGCGGGGAGCGGCGGGGCGCGGGGCTCGTGGCGCGGCGGGACTCGGGGAGGATGCGGGCGGGAGGTCTGCGGGAGCCAGCGGGGATTGTTGGAGATGCCGCCCTCGGCCCGGCCGCAAGCGCAGCCGTCCCCCCCTCTTCCCTCCTGGCACCAGCAGCCGCGGGCCGCCGTCGCCCTCCACCTCCCGCCGGTCTTTGGGGGCCGCTGCCCTCTCGCGGCGCCGCCGAGGCTGCCGCCCCCGCTCCACTCCGGCAGGGGGCGGCCGTGGCCGTGTCGGAGCGTTCCCTTCCTCGGGGTGCCTTGGAGTAAACAAAGGCAGTTCCGTGGAAAGTGGAGCTCTTTAGGTGAATGCGTCACCAGTCTGTTTCCATGTATTTCGTACATCCTGAAGACATTTCGTGCGCTTCTGTGTACTAAGTAGTACCTGCAGTGGCAGAGAAATAAATCAGGGAAGCAACTTGGGATGAAAGAACAAAAATGAAGTAAAAATGTTTTTTTCCCGTGGAATTACTGTTAAACCAGTTGCAATGGAAGATTAGGAGAATGCCCTCATATCTATACAGTGAATGCATCAATCTGTACCATAAATTAATCGAATCAGTAATTTCACTGGAAAGAAGCATCAGCATTTTCTATAAATATGGTTATACAAAGATATATTAAAAATAAAATTTGCTAATAAAATTGATAGTGCTTTGTAGTCCCAAAAAGTGCACTGGGGGAACTTGGAAGGCAGAAGCAAGAGCTGATTATAAGGGTGCTGCGTCCTAATTTATTCAAGCACTGAATAACACCTCTGAAACTGTCAAAGTATGTCACAGTCTTGAGCAGTGTTTTGACTTTTATATCTCTTTTCCCAGAACCTCTTTTTCATGGGCGCCACACAGACTAAGCATCACAGAGGTGTGAGTCCAAGTGTAGCAAAGGTAAAAACAGTAAAGAAGGGAAATGAAAGAAGAATTTCTCCCGAATAAATTTGTATCTTTTGATTTTATCTGAGCTTGTGCTTTAACTCACGGTGATAGAAGGAAGCAAGCAGTTCTGTGTTCTGGTCCACTTTAAGTTAAATGCTTTGAAACTTCTAAAAATCATTATTATCTCTTGCTGTTACATTATGCACAGATAGCCTTGAGTACCTGAGCATTATCTTGTCCATATGAGCTGTTGGTGTCAACTTGTAATTTACATACTAATTGCTCGCAATCTTTAGCAGTAGAAAAGTGAACTGTCCACAATTCAAAGGATTTCTTAATTATCAAGGAAAAGTACTTCATGGGGAAGAGTATGGCCAGTAATTATCTACTGCCAAGTGTCAAAACACATGTAAAATGAATGTTAACTGCCAGCAACAGAAGGAAGCTGACTTCTTCTGTGGCAGTTTGAGGCTTCTAGCATGAAAAAGAGAATAATTGGTCACATGTTCTATTAGCTTCAAATGTAATAGTATTTTCTGTGTGGTGATGGCATTCAGGAGATAGCGTAATAACTCTGGTGCTGTAAATTCAGAGGTGCAGGCTACATACAGAGGGACCATTCTCCACATGGGTTCTGAGCACTTCTGAGGGCTTATATCACACCTTGCCACTGGTGGGAGTTTTCCTGTGTGCACACAGTCACCCTTCCTCTCTGTGGGCAGCAGCAGAAATTTGTTGGGTTTTAACCAGTCCCGCCACCTGATCATCCTCTCCTGTGTCATCACCACACAAAGCCAGAACGAAAGGGTTAAGGCTTTTTAGTAGGGTAAATGTTCGTATTTCTCTTGGATTTAACTGGAAGATTTTTCATGCAAGTCAAAAATGTGAAACTTCTTTAAATTTGCCCTTTTGCTGTATAAGAGAGTCCAGCTGGTTTTCATTTTGCTGCGTGCAGCTGCAAATACTTCCAAAGTTTAGAAAAGCATAGTAACTTGGTGATCTGTGCCTAAAAAAGTTTATACTGACTTTTAATACAATATTTGAACACTTTCAGTACCACAACTTGAAGATCTTTCAAAGCAATAGAAATAACCTTTTAGATTAGTCCTTCAACAAGAACATCTTCAGCTTTTATTGATTTTTTATAGATTGCTTAGTAAACTTTTAACTTCTTTTTGCAGATTAATCTCACTTATATTTTTAATTTGTTTCTTAATCTTTGTCATACATTTTATTTCCAACACTGTTTCTTGCAGTGTCATGTATAGCTTCAGTCTCTTACCTTTTATAACTTCTGAATAACTGTTTTGTGGTGACAAGTCTTGCTGCATATGTGCTGTTAATGTAAATGCGATATTTTGTGTTGATTAAGGTATAAAGTTCTCGAGGGCATCTGTTCAGGTTCAGATGTATAATTTCTTTTATTAGAATGTTTGACTTCAACCTTTTCTGAGGTGCTTGTATTATATTTTCTTTACAGTAAATCCCTCTGGTTGCTTTTCTGAGAGTTTTAATTATAATGCTGTCTCTAAGACAATTATGTAATTGTTTTCATTTTCTTTCAGAATTTGGTAATTATATCAAAAAACACTGAAAAATGCATCAGCTGCAATATGAGGAAACTCAGTCACTAAAAGAAAAAGTACCTAGAAGAGAAACACAGTTGAGAAGATTCTACTAATAACTGACAAATGAAATAAAAATGAAAAAGAAATAGGGAAGATTGAGCTTTCTGGACTCCTTCAGACTATTGATTTAAATTATAAACTTTCTGTAGCTTTGATAATGGCAAAAATGTGATGCTTCAGTGAAAATTTATAAATATAGTTGTAGTAGTTAAACATTTCCATAAGTATGGTAGAATAGAGTGCTGAAAGGACAGGTGTTTTATAATTTTGTTTTATAATTTTTCGTATTTAATATTTTAAAGATAGATTCTTTTTCTGCTCTCCCTAGTTCTAGCATTGCCCCAGTCACATGTGTGTACTTTTCATGTTTTATTGAAACAGATGGCATATCTCCTCCTTCCAGGCTCAGGCAAGGGGGGCGTAGGAAATCTGGTAGGATTAAATTATTTTGAAACAAGAAGACATCTTTCTCATATCCCATTTCTCATACACCTGTTAGTCTTTCAAGCAGGCAGTGACAGTAAACACTCAGAAACAGGGAGCATGTTTCAGTGGTGGTGTTCTGAAAACCCTGCACTGTTCAGTCCCTATGACTACCTGTTTTTCAAAAACAGAGTCTAAAAGTTAGCAGCTAAGCTTGACTAAGCTCAACAGTAATACTTTTAACAACCAAAAAGGCAGCAGATTAGGCATTTGTTCCAGCTCTATTAGAAAACCTCTCCCCTAAATCCACCAAAGTCACACAAGGCTCAGTGCTTTTGCAAATCAGGTCATTTCTTAAAGCATATAAACATGAGTTCAGAAGCCTGATTTTCAGTTTTTCATTGTGAAATTGTTGAACAAGCTTAATTTTTACAGAAATACTAAAAAGTCAGGGTTTCTAGAATTTAATATATGTATATGTGCTCTGGAGAAGACTTGGAATGCTATGAGTAAAATGTATTTTTCTGGCCTCTGGTTTCTGTATATGTGCTGGTTTAAGAGTTAACCAGCAGGGGTAATGAACCCAACTCAAAGGAGAGATTATAAAATCAGAATAACAATTTATTAAAATAATACAGTAAGTACAATCATACAAACAAACAATTGGTCTTAACCCACAAAACCCAAATGTATAACCCAGTACCTTGGGGGCATGAACAAAGTGGTGTTCCCTAGGCCCCGCTTAAGTCCAAAGTAAAGGGAGAGGGGAAAAACCTGCTGGTGGGAGAGCTGTTGCAGTCTGGTCAGAAGCGGTGATTGCAGTCCAGCTGAGGTTGAGAGCGACGAGCTGCAGTCTTCCTTCTGGATCCCACGAGTGGTTGAAAAGTTCTGAAAACTCCAGGTTTATATATTCTCCAGTTCAGGCAGGAATGGTCAGTTCTTTCCCTCAGGGAGTTCCATAAAAGGTAAGAGCATCCTCCTATCTCACAGGCCTCTTAACACCTAGTTTATAGCCTGAGGAGTCAGGCTTTTTATGGGCAGAGGTGCTAATAGTCTATTGACAACAGTTTCTGGGAAATGGCATGGAAGGCTATAGAATACACAGTTTTGGGTTACACCCATACCGTGATGAACTCAGCTGTCCTAACTAGGACCGTATATATCATACATACATGCATGAAACATTATCCATCAACCATGCAGTGCAGGACATGTGAGTGAAACAGTAGTGGCATGTCTGGAAGTCCAGATGAAAAAATGGCTTGAAACAGTTAGAGTTCCTGATTCAATCAGAGGTTTCAGATACGGTTATGCTGCCAACAACAGTGAGTGTTCAGGCAAGCATTTATGCTGTTTGATGAATTCCCATTCGATCCTGCAGGAATGTCTGTTCAAATCCATGTCTGAGATACTTACATTTCTATCAGAGTAGTGGCAATAAGTATTTTTAATGTTAACATCTACTTTAACACTTACTAAAGTAATACAATAGTTGCATAAAATGTACAGGACGTTTTATTTGGGGCCTCAGTCCTACTCTACTACTAGTAAAACAGATTTCCCAGCATGGGGAATTCTCTATTTCTGTCAGCATACTTGTGCAAATAGCTTAGAACTTGATCATGGAGTAAACCTGGTCAGACAGGTTGTCCTCTTTCCTCATGTGAACATTCACCATAGAATTGAGATCTTCGGAACATGTTGTAAAAACATTTTTAAAATGTAGTGATTCTAAAGCTAAAATTCACATATAGATTTATGATAATGAAAGTTCAAAATGAAAACTAGTACCTGCAATTTAACATATAGGTCAATCTCTGACTTATAGTGAAACTCAAAGCGAAACCTATCCTGGTAGTCATGAATGCCCAGCTTCTTCATGTGACCAGGGAAAGGATTAAATGGGTCAGGGGTCTGATTTAGTAAAACAAATCCTGTTTTCCCACAGGTTTCTAAGGACCTTGTTGGTGAATACTGGATTGTTTTGAGAGGCAGAGCATCAGAAATTTGAGCTGGCATAATGAAATGTTTGCAGTTCAGAGCTGTGCATCTCTAACTCCAAGTCACATGGCTATGATATGTGGCCCATAGCTAATCTGTGGTGTTCCGTTAAACAACAAAATTGGTACTGTTTTCAGTTTCAAGGCTGGTGAGCAATCCATGAGAAACTTGAAAAGATTCACTGATGTTTGTCCTTTGGCTCCAGAACGTGGGGAGTTGGTTTGAAGGACTAAAGTCTTGTATGTGTTTTTTAGGGGCTTGAACATGCTTGTGTCAGGTTACATTTCATATCAGAAATGTAATAACTACAATCAAATGTTTCTCTGGTTTTTCCATAGCCACATTTTAAAGTTGTGCTGTAGTTTTTCTCATAAAACATACTTCAGATATCATATTTTTGTTCGGCTTTCAGCCATTCAGCTTCCAGTGAGCAGCCACTGTTGTCAAAGTGCCAAGAAGGTGTCAGTACAAATTCACATTTGAGAAGGCAGAAGATCGCATAGACATGTTAAGATTCATTATTGATCAGGACTTTGTCTCCACAAACTCAGGTTATTATTTTCACTGGAGTCAGGAGTCATACTGCCTGGATGAAGAAGTAACTTGGATCTTATCCAGCTATTGATATTTCTAAAGTAATGATATGGCTCTAAATCTGGCCGCAACGATGCATTGCCTCACCACACAGATCTTATTACATGTGCCTGTCATTAGTAATGCTTCTGACTTTGACTTTTGAATGCCTTGAACACAGAGCCTAGTGGTTTTCATTTTAATAGGTTCTGTGTGCAAGACAATCCTTTTACTCTTGTATAGTGTTGCCAGTGGATTGCTTACTGCTGACAATCATGCAAGAAAGTTGCTGGATGTGCAAAATGTGCTGCTTGGGGGAATTGTGCAGTACCAGAATACTACTATGTAAACAGGTAATCTGCACTGGTTTTCACCACAAAAGTTCTGAATTTAATATTAAGGTCAAAATGACATGTCATCCTCATAAAAAATTCTGATTTCTCATATTCATAAGTATCTCTGTAAGACTCACTCAGCAGTATTATGGGCTAATAAAAATACCTACTGCAGCAAAGAGGATTCCAAAGTCACTGGTCCAAAGTTGCTCTTTTCTTTTTTAGAGCTTGTATGAGTTGATGGAAATGTCACTGAGCTACAAAATGAGTAATGAAACCTGGATTTGGTCTGGTGTTTTTGGCTGCTGAGGAGCATGCCTCCCTCAGTTCACACTGTGTGACAGCACCTGTACCACTGCGGGAATACTTGTGTTGCTACAGAGCTCTGGCAGAGCAGACACTGCAAATCCACTCGCACCTCCTGCACTGTGAGGCTGAAATGCAAACTGAGCAAGGCCAAAGTGATGTTGTTTGGAGAAGAGGTGGTCTGAAAGCCAGGGTATTTTTGCCTTTTTTTACCCACATGTGCTACCATCAATGCAGTGCTCATGTGATTTCTTAGTCAGCCTAGATAATCAGATGCCAGGTGATACTCCTTTTGCACTGCTGGACAATATTTTAAGTAAAAGCGTGATGGATGAACTGTGTATGTTTGTCCCTTCAGGTGAGATTCTTCTCACTAAACTTAGATACTTGCTTTACAGGTGCCAATTCTAGGTCACAGCCATCTCATTGTAGTATACATGCCTATGTATAGTGTACTGTTGTATGCTGCAGTATACAAGTGAACTATTGTAGATGTCAGCATTTGCTACTGTAGGTACTCATATTGATTTTTTGAATCCCATACTCCAAATTAATGCAAAATATGACTACCTTCCACTTTATTTGCTTGCTTGCTTGCTTGCTACTTTACCATGAGTACTTTCCTTTATTTTTGATTCCCATCAATCTATTTGTGATGAGCAAGCCTGTCCAAGAGCTTGGTCTTCAAGTTCATTAGGAAAAGAGAAGGATGTGATTCTAAAACTAATTCTCTCTTAACACTTCTCAGACTAAACTCACTTTCAGGGATCTTGTCAAAGCCTGATTTTGGAAGGAATTTTTTTGACGTCACATTAATTCCATTTGGGATATGTGTGATAATAGGAAAAAGAATAATTATTAGTATTACATTATTTAAAGGTATACCCAGGCTTTCTGCTATATGTGTGTCTCAAGGTTCTTGTATATTTTTTATTTGTGTATGTGTTTTGGGGCTGTTGCCTTTTGCTATTTGCCCTGTGCTCATGCATATTTCATAAGTCAACTAGCAGAGTCATCACTGTAAATATAGTAATTTATTCTTTTTTATTTTATTTGGCATGAGGAACAGACCTCCAAGCATAATTCTAGCTTTATATGTCTTCTTAAATATATTCTATGCATAGTATGGATTCAGTAAACTCTTTGGCCTGGTCGAAAGGATTTTCTTTTTTTTGTTTTTCTTTCATTATTTTAAATGAAGGTAAAAGAATACAATTTAAAACTGTCCACTAGAAATATTCATTAGTCATTATTAGGGTTCATAATAGCAAGAGTCTTGGCTTTATTTTATTTAAAATATTGAAATATCACTTAGACAAAACCTGAGCAAACCAAATTGTGTCAATGCCTTGCTTCCTGGAGTCTTGCACTTCACCCACCACAGAAATTAGAATATGGAAAAAATAAAAGTCTAATAGCAATGAGATAAAATCAGCACAATGGAAAAAGAAGATAATTGCATTGCTCAGCTGTCACGAGGCCAGCATAAAAAAATTAAATTACTCATCTTCCATCTCAGGCACAGCCTGCTCAAACATACATATATAATTATTTATTTGTATGGGTTTGATTCCTTAGCAAAATGTCACTACTTTATAATGTGGTTTAACCACTTGGGGATTCTGTTCAAAGAGTTCATTTATAGTTTTATCACTGAACTACAAAAAACTGTTCTGGGCTCTAATATAATTAAGTTGCATGCAAGTGTTTTATTATCTTTAAGTCTTACTGTGTATAAGTACATGAATTCAAAGACAACTCTCCTGCAAAGATAAAATACAATATGCAATGAACAAGGGCTGCTTTCTAGTGAAGGCATATTCCTTACCAAACCACTCTATCAGGCAAGGGTGTGCTCAAGACCCAAACATCAAAAAATTTTCATATAACAATATAATTTTGACTTTGGAGGTAAGTGAAAAATTGATTTAGACCATTTCTCAAAAGAAAAGGATTCAGCTTTATAATTCATAAGTGTGTTTTTGAGAGTTTTAACCATGATTTTATGAGCAAAATATATAAAAATTGCAATATACAACAATGCTGTAAAGAAAAACCACTGGTATAAAATCTTTTAATAATAGTTGCCATTGATTTAAATATTTTGACAAAATGTGATACTCCCACTAGGTGGAGAGTCTGAAATAAGAAAGAAAGATTTTCTGGGTTGGAGGTGCAGATGTACTTTTGTAGAGAGCCTTTATGCAATCCTCAAGCTGAACAAAGTATAACAGTTTTGTCTTATAGAACTTAAGGTTAAGGCTGAGCAAATAGAATTCATACTCATTTTCATGCAAATTTAGCGCTTTTTTTCTTTTTTTTTTC